CCGACAAGTTCAAGGAGTTGACTACGGTGAGACTTTCTCACTCGTAGCGATGCTAAGAGTCTGTTGGAATTATATTAGCAATTACTGCATTATTTATGAAATCTTGCAGATAAGATGTCAAAACATTGTTTCCTCGACGTTTTTTTGAGGAAAGGTTGTATGTGATACAAACCGGAAGGTTTTGTCAATCCTGAAAGATGCTAATAAGTATGCAAAGCTCCAGCAATCCTTCTAGGGACCGGAGTAAGCATCTCGGAGTTGGAATGTATGCTTTGATGAGATGATCAAAGATTTTTGGGTGTATACAAAGTTTATGAGAAACTTGTATTTCCAAAGAAGTGAGTGGGAGCACTATAGAATTTCTGATAAATATATGTTGTTGACATATTATTGATCAGAAATGATGTAGAATTTCTGGAAAGCATATAGGGTTATTTGGAAAGTGTTTTTCAATGGAAAGCCTGGATTAAGCTACTTGAACATTGAGCATCAAGATCTATAAGGATAGATCAAAACGCTTAATGGTACTTTCAAATGAGCACATACCGTGACATGATCTTGAAGGTGTTCGAGATGGATCAGTCAAAGAAGGAGTTCTTGCTTGAGTTGTAAGGTATGAAGTTAAGACTTAAAGCTCGACCGCGGCAGAAGAAAGAGAAAGGACGAATGTCGTCCCCTATGCTTTTGTCATAGGCTCTATACGGTATGCCATGCTGAGTACCGCACCTGATGTGTGCCTTGCCACATATCTGGCAAGAGGGTATAAAGGTAATCTAGGAGTAGATCACCAGATAGCGGTCTAAATTATCCTTAGAGGAACAAGGATATGTTTCTCGGTTATGGAGGTGATAAAGAGTTCGACGTAAAGAGTTACGTCGATGCAAGCTTAACACCTATCCGGATAGCTCTGAGTAGAGATACCCCTATCCGGATAGCTCTGAGTAGAGATACCGGATACGTATAATGGAGCAACAATTTAGAATAGCTCCAAGTAGAACAGTTATTTGAAATGGCTCCAAATATAGCGTAGCAGCTGCATCTACAAGATGACATAGAGATTTGCGAAGTACATACGGATCTGAAAGATTCAGACCCGTTGACTATAACATCTCTCACAAGCATAACATGATCAAACCCAAAACTCATCGAGTGTTAATCACATGGTAATGTGAACTAGATTATTGACTCTAGTAAACTCTTTGGGTGTTAGTCACATGGGGATGTGACCTTGAGTGTTAATCACATAGCGATGTGAACTGGATTATTGACTCTAGTGCAAGTGGGAGACTGTTGGAAATATGCCCTAGAGGCAATAATAAATTGGTTATTATTATATTTCCTTGTTCATGATAATCGTTTATTATCCATGCTAGAATTGTATTGATAGGAAACTCAGATACATGTGTGGATACATAGACAACACCATGTCCCTAGTAAGCCTCTAGTTGACTAGCTCGTTGATCAATAGATGGTTACGGTTTCTTGACCATGGACATTGGATGTCGTTGATAACGGGATCACATCATTAGGAGAATGATGTGATGGACAAGACCCAATCCTAAGCCTAGCACAAGATCATGTAGTTCGTATGCTAAAGCTTTTCTAATGTCAAGTATCATTTCCTTAGACCATGAGATTGTGCAACTCCCGGATACCGTAGGAGTGCTTTGGGTGTGCCAAACGTCACAACGTAACTGGGTGGCTATAAAGGTACACTACAAGTATCTCCGAAAGTGTCTGTTGGGTTGGCACGAATCGAGACTGGGATTTGTCACTCCGTGTAAACGGAGAGGTATCTCTGGGCCCACTCGGTAGGACATCATCATAATGTGCACAATGTGATCAAGGAGTTGATCACGGGATGATGTGTTACGAAACGAGTAAAGAGACTTGCCGGTAACGAGATTGAACAAGGTATCGGGATACCGACGATCGAATCTCGGGCAAGTATCGTACCGCTAGACAAAGGGAATTGTATACGAGATTGATTAAGTCCTTGACATCGTGGTTCATCCGATAAGATCATCGTGGAACATGTGGGAGCCAACATGGGTATCCAGATCCCGCTGTTGGTTATTGACCGGAGAGTCATCTCGGTCATGTCTGCATGTCTCCCGAACCCGCAGGGTCTACACACTTAAGGTTCGGTGACGCTAGGGTTATAGAGATATTAGTATGCGGTAACCCGAAAGTTGTTCGGAGTCCCGGATGAGATCCCGGACGTCATGAGGAGTTCCAGAATGGTCCGGAGGTAAAGAATTATATATAGAAAGTGCTATTTCGGCCGTCGGGACAAGTTTCGGGGTCACCGGTATTGTACCGGGACCACCGGAAGGGTCCCGGGGGTCCACCGGGTGGGGCCACCTGCCCCGGGGGGCCACATGGGCTGTAGGGGGTGCGCCTTGGCCTACATGGGCCAAGGGCACCATCCCCAAGAGACCCATGCGCCAAGAGATAAAAAGGAGGAAGAGTCCTCAAAGGGGAAGGCACCCTCTAGGTGCCTTGGGGAGGATGGACTCCTCCCTTGCCGCACCCTTCCTTGGAGGAAGGGCCAAGGCTGCGCCCCCCTCTCCCTTGGCCCTATATATAGTGGGGGGGGAAGGGAGGGCAGCGATACCTAAGCCCTGGCGCCTCCCTCTCCCTCCCATGACACATCTCCCTCCTCCCGCAGCGCTTGGCGAAGCCCTGTTGGAATCCCGCTACTTCCACCACCACGCCGTCGTGCTGATGGATCTCCATCAACCTCTCCTCCCCCCTTGCTGGATCAAGAAGGAGGAGACGTCACTGCTCCGTACGTGTGTTGAACGCGGAGGTGCCGTCCGTTCGGCGCTAGGATCATCGGTGATTTGGATCACGACGGGTACGACTCCATCAACCCCGTTCTCTTGAACGCTTCCGCGCACGATCTACAAGGGTATGTAGATCCACTCCCCCCTCATTGCTAGATGACTCCATAGATTGATCTTGGTGACACGTAGGAAAATTTTGAATTATTGCTACGTTCCCCAACATACCCGACCGACATGCATAGCCAGCATCTCCAAAGTAGAACTTGCCGTCGGGGATATTGATCCCATCAGGTCGACCCATGCTGTCAGTGAGAATGTTTGCATCATGGCTGACCCCTCCCAGCCAACCAGCACATATGTGAACTTCAGATCAAAGTCAACAGCATCAAGCACATTCTGGCTTGTGTAGTTCTTCCTCCCCCTGTATGCTGCAGACTGTGACCTAGGAACTCTGGCAGTGAACATGAGTACCATCTATTGCCCCAATGCAGTCCTGAAAATGGCATCACTAGCCCGTGTTAGTGCTGAACTTGAACAATACAAGCATATCAAGCCATGAAAAGTGTATATTGTCAATGCTCACCTTGAAGTATGGATACCATCTTGGGCTTCCACGAATCTTGGGTGGAGTCTGGCTAGATGGTCTCCTGATCATCTCTCCTCTAAGCTCCCCAACAGCAAAAAGCACCTGCTTGAAGTACCTAGAGATGGTCTTTATTGATCTCCTGAACGTGTTGTGAATGACCCTAAACCTCTGGTTATGGCCAACAACATGGAGGAACATGGCCACTTGCTCTTCGACACTAGTGTTGATGCTATCTTGTAACAGGCTGCTGCTCCTGAAGGTCTCGACAAGCCTGGCAAATGGTGCTCTTTTCATTCTAAGCATCGACATAGCCTCGACGTCATTGCAGTTGTAGATGTAGTTCAGACTTTGGATCCTCTCCTGTTCCCAGGGAAACAATGGACCATAGCGGATCAACGGTCTCCCAGCACGACGAACAACTCTCTGGTGCATGAACATGACCCATGCCTGAATCACACTAATCAGTGATGCTGCCTGGATTATCAGCCTCATCCATGCGTCCGTAACCTAGTCGACATCGACGGTTCGTTCAATGGGAAATCGATCCTACACCTAGCTTAAAGGCCTAACCGCTGAGCTAACAAAGGGGGAGGGGGGGGGTGCTTACCGGCATCGGAGACAAGGACGGCGTAGGGGGAGCCATGGCACAGAGTAGGTCGACCAGGCAATGGCCAACAGCAAGGGGAGCACCAGATCCGCCGCAAACGCTGCCGCCTCTTCCACCGCGGCCGCCTATAGCGCAGATCTGAAATCGCAGCCGCCGCCGGTGGTGAGGCAGTAGGGAAGAAAGGGGGGTAGTGGCTATGGGTGAGCGAGTGAAAGGGGGGTGAGGCTAATTTGGCGCCGGGACGGCACGCCAGATTTCCATCTCCCGCCATCCCCCCTCGCCCGCGCCTCGCTCCTGCCCGTGCGACCTCGCGCCGCACTCAGCTTGGCTCGCGAGAAACTGCTGATCCGAGGGTTTCCAGCGAGGCAGGCTCTGGGCTGCTTTGAAAAGCGTGCGATGCAGGCCCAACAGGAAAACCAGGCAACCAAACAAGCCTCTCCCTTCCCGCACGGGCCTGGTTGGGCTCGGTGCGGGCAACCAAACATGCCCTTGAGGATCAGAACACAAATCCGCACGCACGATTGTTAAAACTCAGGGGTGTTTGGTTTCAGGGACTTTTTTGTATTGGGACTAGAAAAAGTCCCTAGCAAACCAAACAGGGTGAGACTTTTTTAAGACTTTTTGCTAAAAGTCCTTAGAAGCACCTCTTTAAAAGTCTTTTTCAAAAAGTTCTAGGGACTAGAAAAAATACTAGTACTAGTACTAGAGAACCAAACACCACCTCAGAAAAAGCACGGGGGGCGAGTCTACGCAGCCGTTGGTTCTCCGTGGACCAGGCCTACGGTCCGGACCCACGGGCGAGCGCCCCACCACGGCACCACCCACCACACCCGGTGGGCCAGCAGCAGTCCACGCGACCAACCGCCGAACCGGAGGAGCAAACGCCAACACACGACATGGATCTCCGCCGCACCGCGCCCAACAAATCCTAGGTAGGGTTCGTTCGCCGCCGGGAGAGGACGGCCGGCCGGTCGAATCCCAGCCTCCCTCCACCCCACCCGCGGATCCGGCCTCCGCCATGAGCTCCGCGCAGGACCCCTTCTACATCGTCCGGGAGGAGATCCAGGGCTCGGTAATCCCCTCTGCGCCCTTTTCTCTTCCTATACAGTAGTTGCAAATTTCGTATGCGCGCACCGATCAGGGCCGGAAACACTGCCGGTTACTGCGTTCGCGAGCTATGCCCATCCTAGCTGCTGCTGTTTATTTGGCTGCGCCGTGGCGTACTGGCAGCTGAAAACTGGTTTTGTATTTTTTACCCCTCCGTTCCTAAATATAACTCCTTGTAAAGACTTTAATATGGATGTATATAGACGTAGTTTACAGTGTAGATTCGCTTATTTTGCTCCGTATATAGTCCATATTGGAATCTGCTCCCTCTGTACCGAAAAGTATTTCGGTACAGAGGAAGTATAAAAAGACTTATATCTAGAAACGGAGGGAGTAGTATATAGTAAGGGCTTCTCCAGTACTGTATGGCTGAGATAGTCACCAACCTGGTGGGTAGCTGAGAAGATTGATGGTGCTGCCTGCTGGGACCAAAAATTTATATGCTTAGATGACGTAGTAGCTATGCTGTTGTATGGGGATATATGCATAGATATGTACATGTGGGTTCCAACCATGCTTCTGAGGGGAAATAAATTATATCCAATTTAAACACCGCACGCCTGCAGCACTTGTGGACTGGGAGTTACTTGAGGGAATAAGAGTGTGCAGGGCAGGCTATCAAATGCATGGTTGCTAGTTTGCTTAGTAGCTCTGTTCTATAGGGATATGTATGTAAGTACGTATATGTGGATTTTTAAGCATGGTTTCTGTATATCTGATGAGTGCATACCTCTGTAACTGCTCCTCTTTGCCTGGCATTACAAGGCCATTAGGCTGGATGCTTGAAAAGATGAGTCGCTGCAGTAAATGTTCTCCTAAGTCTCCTGTGGTTTCAGAAACACGTCCATTTATCTGTCATGCTCTGTTATTCCTGAAGATAAAGCTCCTTTGTATTTCTTAAAACTCTCCCATAGTTTCACAGACATATTGCATCATCAGCCTGCAGTTATCATCTGTATTCCTCTCTTGGTCCCGAGGATAAGGACCTTTCTTTTCTCCCCTGGGTTAAAAGAATGGGAGTTTGTAAGGGAGGTTCTCTCTATTTTTTTTATGACATGAGGGAAGAGCTACTGATTTTAGCCATGCTTCCTGAATACCTATACAGAGCTCTGTAACTGGTATTCCTTATCTGATAATCCATGGCCTCTTTGACAAGTAGTTGAAATTTGAATAGCTAGTGCTGCTAAGTCTCTTCTAGTTTCAGAAACACATGAATTTATCTGTCTTCTTCTGTTAATCCTGAAGATAAAGCTCACATGTATATGTTGCTTAACTCCCCCATATCTTTAGAAACGTATTGCATCATCAAACTGCATGTATCTTGGTCCCGAGGATAAATATCATCTTCATTTTGCAGATTGGTAAGCTGCAGACTACTTTCCATCGGTGGGAGCAAGTTTCTTCAAACACTGGAGAATATGTTCATATAACAAAAGAGCTTCTCACCAGCTGTGAAAGCATCGAGTGGCAGGTATAACAACTCAGCAAGACAGCACCAATAGTCACTTTGATCTCCATTCGGTACTAATCTATACAGCAGGATATGCATCTGATTTATCTAGTCTAAACTTTTTATTGCCATATATTTATTCTGGCCTGACTAGTTTTTGCTTATATTTAGGTGGATGAGTTAGAAAAGACAATTTCAGTTGCATCAAGGGATCCAGCGTATTATGGACTCGATGAAGTTGAACTCTCCAGACGACGGAACTGGACTGGCTCTGCTCGTAATCAGGTATTTCTTTATGTTTTCCATCATTCATTTACATACTTCATCTGCCTTTATTATAATAACTGGACTGGCTTGAGGATTGTTCCTGAACAAGTTATACTACAGATTTCCTTCATTGTTTTTCTTCTAGCTATGTCATAGGATTACCAATGAGGCAGAGGCACATGTGTTATCTCCCTTTTTAGAACAAAAATGTGGTACTCTTGAGCATGCATGGACGGCACTATTACAGCTGAATATGATGATATCCTTTAGCCTGTAAAAGAGGAGACGGATGGGAATGACATTTATGTTGTGTGCTTTTATCTTTACGATTGGCAAAGTGAAAGTCTATTTATTTTGGATTCGTATCTTTGGACAACCACCAGATCGGTACTGTCAAAAGAGCTGTTGAAAAGGGGAAGAGCAATCCTGCAATGGCAAGACATCAGGACAATGGCACAAGCAGAACTAACTACTATTCTTCCCAAGACAATGATGACTATATTGCTTCAGAATCAGATAGACAGCTTCTACTCATGAGGTGAGTTTGCTCACTCTTACTTTTACTGCTCATATACTGTACAAATATGTTGGTTAGAAACATGTGCTCTAAAAAATGAAACTTATTATCTGTTCAATATGAGTAGGATCACTCAAGATTCCCCTTTTATGTAAGTAGGCGGTGTTTAATTTAAAGTTATGGTGTTCTATGCATTGCTAAAAAAACTCTGTTACCACCAAAAAAAAACTGTTACCTCTGCCTTTTTTATTCCATGGTTTTAGTCCAGCATGAGCATCCTAAGTATTTTTACTAAGATTTTTTCTTTTGACACATCCTAATTAGTAGAAATATCATGTTTACATTCTATTTAGTGTCTTTGTTGCTCCTCCTGCATAATACAGCCTTTTCATGAACTGAATCATCTTATCTGTACGTGCTTATTCTCATGCCACCCTTGAGAGACCTGTATGAGTATGCTCTTGGTTATCGTTAACTAACTCTTTTTACCGAATTTCTTTTAGGCAGCAGGATGATGAACTCAATGAGCTCAGTGCGAGCGTTCAGAGGATTGGAGGTGTAGGGCTTACCATACACGAAGAACTATCTGGACAGGTAGTTGCCACTGACTGGCAAGCAGACTTCTAGGTTGCTGCATGGGCGTGCAGTTGTTTTTCCGTTATGCGTGTAGCGACATAAAAAATGTGCATGTTAGCATGTTACTGGCAGAGGAAGTAACTGGAGTACATGCTACTGTTTTCACAGGAAAGGATCCTCAACAACCTAAGCCTGGAGATGGAAACTACTTCCAACAGGCTCGACTTTGTGCAGAAACGAGTGGCGATGGTGATGAAGAAGGCCGGCATCAAGGGGCAGATCATGCTCGTCCTCTTCCTGGTGGTCCTATTCATCATACTCTTCGTTCTAGTGTTCTTGACATAGCAATATACCACTACTCGTATAGAATATAGTGTACGTACGTACGTGTACCTGCTTACTGTAAGTTGTGTTCCACATTAAGCATTCAACCTCGCGGCTGTGTTCCACGTTTGAATGGAAAATCTCTTGCAGTTGTGCCTGTTCTATCAAGCTTGATGTTATCTATTTAGCATTGCTTAGAGACGATAGAAGTATTGACAGTTGGGAAACATAGATAGTCTCCCCATAATATAGCTAATGTTGTAGTAAGCACCTATCTGAACGCTCAATCGGCATCAAAAGATGGCTTGAAAAAGGTACCTCGAATATATCTATGAATCCGATGAACCAAAAGTGCTATTCTGAGGTGTAAGATTCTTGTAAAACTAGTCAGATAGTCAGAGCTTCGCACAGGCTCATGATACTGCAAAAACTTTATTTGTCGCCTTAAGCGGAAGATAGACAGATCTTTGCACAGGCGCCCAAAACTGTCCCCGCCCGTTTCATTTTTCCTTCCAAATTTAATTTAAATTTTAACTTATTTCGTAATTAAAACTTTTCAAAAAAAGTTCAGAATTAGCTTTTTTTGTCAAATTATCGAAAATTGTTCAGAATTACAATATTGTGTTCCAGTTTTTAAAAATGTTTGGAAATATATATATTTTTCTCGTTCTGATTTTTTTCCAAATTCAGGACATATTCTATTTTTTTCCAAAAACTGTTTGAGTTTTTCTAAATTATGGGATTTTTAGAAAAATGCATTTTTTAATATTCAAAATTCAAAAAATATTCTTGTTTAGTAAAATGTTCACAAATTCAAAGTAATGTCCATGTTTAAAACCACATTTTATAAAATTGTTCTGAATGTTCAAAACATGTTCTATTTTCAAAAATCGGTCACAACTGCGAAAAATGTTTGTGTTTTCATAAAAAGTTCATGTCTTTAGATAATGATGCCGTTTCAAATTTTGTTCATGTTCTGTTTTCCAAAATGGCTGGAATATTAAAATCATTGCTCATAATTTTAAAACATGTTCACTTTTCCATGCGCTATTTGGCTCAACTAGCGTCATATAGTAGCATCCACACAGCTGCCTCAACAAAAGAAAAAATATACGTATAGATTTTGTTCCATCCATTCCACACATAGTTCCCTTTTTTCGTTTATCCCCCAAGTGGGCCGAACTGGGCCTATCATGCATTTCTTTTTCTGTTACTGACAAGCAGTAAAAAATGAAGGGCGCGAGGGGATTGAACTATGAACCTTCCCTATTGTGCCGACAGACAAAATCAACTCAGCTTGCTTCCAATTATGATAGGAATAGTCCCACCTTGGAATTTTATACTAAATCACACCATATTTTATATGTCCCTAAGTTGTCTGGAAATAAGAAGGTTATGTGAGAATAAGGAAGTTGTCTCGAGAATCATGTGCATAGCACGGGTACTCCATAAATTATTGCCGGAGGTAACTTGCATGTGCCAATAAAAGACCATATGCCCGTTGGCTATAGCCTATAATTAAAAAAATGTGGGCACGTGCTAACAAAAGAGAATATGCTAGTTTTGCTCTAATCAATAAAAATTGTGGGCACGTGAGTGCAAAAATAGTCGAAGAGAATAAACCCTGATAAGAAGGGACATTCATGCCTGGTTATGCGCTAATTATACCAATCAAACAAAATTTATGCGCTGCAATTAGTAATCTATTCGGTTACATTGTCGTAGGAGAGAATGGTCGAAGCAACCATATGCCTCGAAGGTCGCCGTGTAGCAACCAAATGAGGACACAACCACAACTCCGAGACGAAGGCGGACCCGGAGGAAAAAAGGCACTAGTTGGATGGTCGCCACCACGCCGACCATCCCCACCACTATCAAGATCTTGTGGACCAATCATGACCCATGAGGAAAAAAGGTACCTTCGTGGAGACCGTCAAAGGGTGGCAGCAGCAGTGGTTCTACGTCACAGAGCCTCGCGACGCCACCTGGGCTGCGGCTCCCGAATTCCAGTCCGGAGCCCCGATGCGGCTCACCTCCTGGCTAGAGAAGGGCCTGGACTGGTCTTCGGCGGACGAGCTGTCAGCGCTTCAGACGCGCATTAGGAGCATGGTCGACAAGAACATCAAACTCGTCAATGTGATCCAGGTTATGCTAGTTCGCCGGATCCTTCCATGCCAAAGCTGGACTTGCCATTTGTGGGAGTTCGATCCAGCCGAGCACCAGACCTTGCAACAGTTCTTCGGAACTACGCACGAAGACATCTGGAAGGTGCTCTTTAAGGCCAACGAGACATACCCGAAGACGACCGAGGACCGTGGGCACGACCTGGCCCATCCCGCCAGTCCGGTAAGTCTTTCGTATTTCAAGGTGTATCCTTTACTTTCTTACCTAAGGAAGATGTATAAGCTTCCTTATCTGTTTTTTCAGGGCTGGACAAAGAAGGCGGAGCGGGTTCAGTGTCCGGCTCCACTGCCCGAAGAACCAGCCATCCCGTTTCCAACAAAGATGTTGGTCCTGGCGCCCTACCAGGCGCCGGAGAAGAAGGCCAAGGGGACTAGAAGTGGCCCCCGCCATAAGGGTACTTCGGACGTGACGTACGAAGACGCCGAAACCCACTCCTCCCCCACTGAGGATGACGACGACGAGGATGAAAGCAACTCTCCCCCTGAGGGGAGAGGGAAGAAGAGGGCAGCCTCCACACATCTGGAGGCTGAAGCGTTCAAGAAGGGGAGAGCCTCCCTCGCAGACGACGCCGCGCTGGATACTGATAGCAGCTCGGAGTGGTGTCCCAGGGATAAGCCCCTGGCCGAATCGTAAGTACTCAAAGGCACCGGCACACTCGTATTCCTTTACTTTATAATTTTGACATGTTTAAATCGTGCAGTGCAGTCCCGCCCACAACAACTCCCAGCGATCCTCATCGGGGGTTCGCTGGATCCAAAGGCGATGGACAGTGGGTCACCGCCGGCGGCCTCCTCTCCCAAGGCCAAGGGTGACGCCGAGGTGCTGTCCCGAAGGACCTTCTCCGGCCAGGGAGAGGTGCAAGAGGCCGTCAGGGCGGCGCCAGAGGGTAATACCTCGGCTGCCGGACACATGGGGAGCAAATCCCCATGGAGACTGGCGATTGGGGCCATATCCAATTCAGCCCCCAGCCGAACACGATCCCGGAGACCTATACGGCTCCGGAATCTGGCAAACAACCTCCTTCAAAAGAAGGAGGTGCACCAATTCCACCGGTGACCTCTGTCCACTCAGAGGCACCGGATGCTCTACTGGAAGCGCTGCAAAGCGCTTCCATTGTTGAGGAACACCGTGTCATTATGGGTACGGTGGTTGAGAGGGTTCAGTCCGTTAAGAGCGGACTGACCAAAGCCTGCACCAGCCTTCTGACAGGCTTTTAGGTAAACGGCGCAATTGGATAAAAAGAGTTCCATAGAGATCCCAAGCGAAATACAAAGAATTTGAGTAGTAACATGCATCTAGTAGAAATAAGTGAAGCACATCAAGAAAGAGAGCAATTTCTAGCTAGGATCGGACCATGGTGGGGCATGCTCGGGAATGTGGCGTACGGAGCACCATTCCATCTCAGGAGGAAGAAAAGAGAAAATGATCGAAGAGCAGGTCGAGGCCCTGCAGCCACCATGGACGCCACTCAAATATTGCGTTGTACAACAGGATTTGATAGCCGCCCCTCTCTGATGTTGCACACGACTGATTAAGAAGAAGGAAAGATGGGGAATTTGAGGATTTGCCACGCCTTTAATTATACTTTGAGGATTTGCCCCCGTTTATCCTGTAACTGAGGATTTACCACACATTTGCTGTAATCTTGAGGATTTGCCCTCTGTACACGGTTTGTATCATTTGGCAGATTATAGTATAAACTATGTGACCAAAATGCCCCTGGTCCAAATCAGGATGATTAATCCCAATCGGACATGTATCTTATCTCTTCTTCCTTTTGCCTGTACTCTGTTCGTCTGGATGGCCGCCCTGCAACCTCGCCGTACGTCGTGCGACCTCGCAGCGGCTATACCGGCAAGGGCGTCCTCCCCTGAGCTGCTGCTATGTGGTGTTGTGCCTCCTTGAGCTTGCGACGCCCTCATTGTGCGCAACCTTCC